TTTTTTTTTTTTTTTTTTTTTTTTTTTGCTTTTCTATCACTTCAAATGAAGAATAAAAAGTAATGCATTTTGTTAACAGACATAATAATGTGGACTACAAAATTTCATGATGTTCTGGGAGACACAAGTACTATGTAACCTTACCAAATAATGCAATAACTTTGAATTAGTTCAGAGGAGACTTTTGTCACAGAAAGAAGAGGACAAATCCCATGCATTGAAAACTGTATCAAGACAACCTCTAAATATAAACATTGGTATTACCAATGCTCCCCAGAAAGGCACAAGCAACCAATGCTTGGGATAAAAGCCTTTCTGCCTGCTCTGCCTAGACCTGCTATTTCTTGTGTACAGTGAAGTACAGTTCACCAAAGCCCTGCTTAGCAAAGAGAAGCATGAGCTGAGCACAGGAGGGGGGCCATCTGCTAATTTCTTTTCTGGCCTAACACCTATTGGTTTTCATTGGCCAGATCTGTACTTAGGATTCCCATTCAAAATCAATGCAGGTTCATAAAACTTGTAAAAAAATATCTTTTGTATCTAAGGGAAAAGTATGGTCAAAAAGATTAACTAGTATTAATAAAAAGAGAAAAAGGCACAATTTTCTCATTTACAGTTATATTCCCAGTACACAGTGAGTTGCTCTTATTTATTAAATGAGAAAAATAAAGGAATGAATGAAGTGAACTGAGATTCCATTTAACAATATATTAACTAGGACAGGCGATTCATAGAGAGGAATATCTCTGGAATGGCAAAAAGACACCACATAACAGTGTCTGGGGACTAAAATGGGAAAACATAGGAATTAATGGGGCCATAATGCACAAACACATTATGCATTAGGATTTGGACAACCTGGTTTACTGGAGTTGCCTGAGAGATATATATATATAGAATGAAAGATAGGAGTTTGAATGGAGTACAGCAGGCACAAAATGTCTGTATTTCACTTTGAGATTCAAATCAATGGACACAGTTTGCTGACTGAGGCACCCAACAAAAGAATTTTATGTCCTGCTGAAAGCTTGGTAAAAGAATGCACATTATAAGCCCCACAGTAGAGAGAGATTTGCTCCATTTGCCAACTGAACAAAGGTTTTTTTGTTTTGTTTTGTTTTGTTTTAAAGGCCAAGAACCCTTCTGCTGTGTTTGTATGGAGTTCACTCACAGTGTGGTTCATAAGGAGGAGGAGGGTCTCCACAAGGTACACACTCCATGTCTTGAAAACCAACAAGTTTTGTCTTCCTATAAAATCTAGAAGGAAAAGGAAAATAAGCCTTGTTAGCTCGTTCATCTAAACTCACAGGTGCAATGAACAGATTATATAAATTACTGGCAGTCTCCATTACCACTTCTATTGCTTAAAAAGAAGGTTCTCAAAACTTTAAATATAGTAGTATCTTAGACAGACTTCCTTAGAAAGCCCTCTGAGCATGCAGTGAATACTTAATTTTGTAGATTTTATTCAGCCTCACTTTTTCTATATTGGGGGGGTGGGTGCTGGTGAGGAATATGAAATCAATTTAAATGATAAGACACCTTATAAATAAAGTGCTAGTTTTTAAGATTTTTAAATTCAGAGACCAAAAAAAAGTCAAACAAACCATAAAAACAATAGAAAAATGTAGGGAGGTGCTTATATAATTTTGATATGAGGACATCTTTCTAGGCACGACAAAATTAATTAATATTAATATAAATGGAAAAAGACCCAGGAGCGAGGATGGAAGAGATTAACAGCTTTGAACACACACACACACACACACACAAAATATTAAAGACAACTAAAGAGTAAAAACAAAGTATCAACCTAGTTAATGGGCAAAAGAAGACTGAAAAATAGTTCTAATCACAGTATTTTCTATAACTTAAGTCTATAACATTAAACTTAAAAATAATTATGGTGAAAGGAAAAAACAGGCAAAAAAATTAATCCCCGAAAGAATAACATTTCATAATTAATTTTCATAACTAAAACTAAAAAGAATGATGTCATTAATTTTTTTTAATATAACATTAAAATGTTTAACCTCATTACTAATCAAGTAACTATAAATTGCAATGAAAATACACCATTTTTACTTAGAAAATTGAGAAAATGTTGGTGTAAGGCTAGGCAAATAGGCACATATATATATATATCATCAGTGGGAAAAGAAATTGCCACTTGTAGGAGGGCAATTGTAGGAGGGCAATTTAGCAATACGCCATAAGAACTCAAATAGTTTATTTACATTCTTTACCCAATAATTTCATTTTTTGAAATGTATCCAAAAGAAATAATCAGCTGGGTAAAACTATATGTTTAAGAATGCAATCACAGTATTGTTTATAAAAGAAAAAAAGCCAATTAAGCACAATCCCAATATCCAATATGCCCAACTACGGTAGAACCAAGGCAAAAGAATACAAGGTGGGCTTTAGAAACAATGATGCAGATCTATCATGTATAATTTTTTTAACTCATAAAATATCATTAAATGAAAATGGAAGTGTGAATAATATAATTCCATTTTGTACGAACACACTTTGGTATAGAGTCTTTCAGACTATTTACCAATCAGCTAAAGACATTTATATGTATATATCAGCACTGAAAAAATTATATATCAAATATTAACTGATTATTTCTTGATGGTGAGAATTCAAGCAATTTTCTTTTCTATAGAAAACTTCCAACTTTTTTGACAAAAATAAAGATATGGAGAATAAATTTACAGATCAAGTCTATAGAGGACAGTTAGATGAATTTATTTTGTGAAATTGGATAATGTAGTAACAAATCTGTATAAGTTATGATTGAAACAAAATTTGCATTTGAAACTAGGTAAGTTACCTCAAATGCCCAATACCTTCCTCATTTGATCAACATTCCATTTTCATTTGACTATGAAAATCTGTCCAAATGACTAATACAATGAGTTCCCACCACATTTTAACTGAAGATATTTATTTTGGAATTTATAAAGTCAAAATCAAAGAACAAAGTTGGAAGATTCACACTTCCTGATACCAAAATATTGCAAAGCTATATTAATCGATGCAATGTGGTATTGGCATAAAGAGAGACCTGTAGACCAATGAACAGAATAGAGAGCCTAGAAATAAACCCTCATTTATATGGTCAAATGATCTTTGACCAAGGAACAAAGACCACTTAATGGGGATAGGACAGTCTCTTCAACAAATAGTGCTGGGAAACTGGATATCCACGTGCAAAAGAATGAAGCTGGCTCCTTATTTTACACCATATACAAAAATTAATTCAAAACAAATTAAGTGAAAGACCCCAAACTATAACATTCCTGGAAGAAAACATAGGAGAAAAGCTTAATGACATGGAATTTGGCAATAATTCCTTGTATATGACACCAAAAGGCAATCAAAGTCATATATGAAACAGGAAGCAAAAACAAAAATAAACAAGTGGACTACATCAAACTTAAAACTTGTGCATAGCCCTAGCTGGTTTGGCTCAGTGGTTAGAGTGTTGGACCATAGACTGGAGGGTCTCAGGTTCAATTCCAGTCAAGGGCACGTATCCCGGTTGCAGGTTCAATCCCTGGCCCCAGTAGAGCTTGTGTAGGAGGCAACCAATCGATGCCTCTTTCTCTCTCTCTCTTTCTTTCTCTCTCTCTCTCCCTTCCACTCTCTCTGAAAAGCAATGGAAAAATTATCCTCAGGTGAGGATTTAAAAAAAAAAGGAATTAAATAAAGCCTTGTGCATAAAAGGATACAATCAATGTACACTTACACCCAAACTCATTGAGTTGTATACATTAAATATCTTAATAAAGTGATTAAAAAAATAAGTCACACGAAATTTAGTTTTAAATTATAATAAAATAATAATGTTTCCTTCTAGGATTAAAAATAAATGATACAGTCAACAGTGAAGGGCAACCTACAATATGGGAGAAAATATTTGCAAATTATATTCTAAGCTAGATAGGCACTTTTAAAACACTCTGGAAAACCTGGGTAAAATCACTGTGTGATTATTGCCTGCCTCATCCATTCATGCTGGCTTAGAAAATGATGTAATTCTAAACTAATCATATAGATAAACTGTAAAACATCATTCAAATGTCTACTCGTTTCTTACTTCCTGCATCTAAGCATTTATTTAAAGAATGAGTGAACATTGTAGAAACTAAAAATGATGGACTCAGATGACAACAAATGAGGTTAAGCATGGGAAACACGTTTGGTGGGAGCTCCTAGGGAGACCATACCCTCTCCCACACTCCAGCAGCACACCTCCTGGGCTCCTTCTTTGTGAAAACCTAGCCTTGTGTCCTGTGCCTTCTCCCACTCTCTCTGGGCACTGCCCACCTCAGCTCTCATCCCTTAAGTCAGGCATAAGGTAGGCTGTGGACCTTTTCTTCTTCCCACCCTCTAGATGAAGAGAGCGGACATACACAGACATGCTTTTATCAAAATTGTAGAAAGGAACAATAAAGATGTGTTAGATGCTCAGTGTGTGTTCCTTGAATAGGTTTACACAAGGTTGAAACTCTGGGTAACGATATTTATAGGTATCAGTATTTCTGAGATTTTAGACCACTACTTTTTTGTTAAATAACAGATTTATTGAAATATTTTACAAACCATAGAATCCATCCATTTAAAGTACACAATGAAATACTTAATATATTCACAGATTTATGTAACAGTCAGTACAGTCTACTGTAGAACATCTTCATCATGCCAAAAAAGAAACTCTGTACCCCATCCCCATTCTTCCAACCCCCCCACCATCACCACCAGTCCTAGACAACCACTAACTTACTTTGTCTTTATAAATTTGCCTGTTCTGGATATTTCATGCAATGGGATCATACAATAAGTGGTCTTTTGTGAGTGGCTTCTTTCACTTAACATAATGTTTTCTAGGTTCATCCATTTTGTATCATGTGTCAGTAATTCATTCTTTTTTATTGCTGAATAAAATTCCAATGTTTGAATACACTCCATTTTGCTTATCTATTCGTCAGGTGATGGACATTTGGGTTGTTTCCACTTTTGATTACGCATAATGCTGCAATGAACATTTGTGCTCTGGCTTTTCTCTGTGGATGTGTTTTCAATAATCTTGGTTGTATATCTAAGAGAAGAATTGCTGGGTCACATGGTAAATATGTTTACCTTGTTGAGGAACTGCCAGACTTTTGCAAAGTGGCTGCACCATTTAATATTCCCTTAACAGTTTATGAGGGTTCCAGTTTCTCTGCACCCTCACCAACACGTTATTGTCTGTCTTTTTGGTAATAGCCATAGTAGTGGGTGTGAAGTATGCAGTTTTAATTTGCATTTCCCTGATTGCTAATAACGTTCAGCATTTTTTCATGTGTTTATTAACCATTTGTATATCTTCTTTGGAGAAATGCCTAATCAAATCCTATGCCCATATTTTAATTGGGTTACTTGCCATTTTTATTATTGAAGTGTAAGAGTTCTTTATATATTCTAGATAAGATAGTCCCTTATCACATATATATAATTTACAAATAGTTTCTCTAATTCTGTGGGTTGTCTTTTCATTTTTTTGATAGTATCCATTAAAGCACAAAAGATTTTAATTTTGATTAAGTCCAATATAGCTATTTTTTTATTTGGTTGCTTATGCTTTTGGTGTTAGACTACTACTTTTTGAACCTGTTTCAGTATTGAGTCATTGCATAAGGCATGCTTGAGCCACAGGCTATTTCCTATCCTGCTTCTGCCTTTTAGGTCCAGAGCATTATCTCCCCTCTGGCCTCAATAAGAGTCCAAGAACTATCACTGTGCCATTTGGTCAAAAGCACCCTAATCTTGTGGGCATGTTCTGGCCAAGTCCAGTTAGAGTCCTTCCTCTGCAGTGACTTAGAGCATGGATTGTGGCAGTAGATTCCTGGATGTGGCTCCAAACTCTACCACATACTGGCTAAGTGATCTTTCCTGAATAAACTTCAACCTTGATAGGACTTACTTTCTTCATTTTTAAGACTGTGAACATTACAGAACATAACTCACGTAAAGTACTTAGCCAAGTGCCTGGCACATTATAAATAATAAATGTTTGCTGCTCCTGTCAAGCTTCTCTTTCTGGCTGTTTATCTCTGCAACAAAGCCTGCTTTCCACAGCTCTAGGAAATCTGAATTCTCTCTCTTCCATCTTTGGTCGGTAACACAGGCTGCACTCTACACCCATGAAAGTATCCTGGTATTCTGCTTTGTCGCTCTTCCTTTTTACCTTGGGCAGTAATGCCTCTCACTCCTTAACAGATCATCACCCATGCCTCCTTGAGTCCCACTCTTAATGCAGAGTCTGTCCCCCAACTGCCTGTGTTATCTGGCATACCTATCCAATGCTTATCCAGGAATATTTAAAACTTTAAAACACTTCCTCCTGGGCTTTGCCTCTCCACCTGGCCCAGATGTAGTTCCCCTTTCTTTCCATGGCCTGAGTTCATTTTCATGCACATATTTAAGGCTTTTACTATTTACATGTGTCCACTCCCTTCTACCTCTTTTTTTCTACTCGACTTTTCCCTTCTCCTGAAGATACCCTGGTCTCTTTGCAACTTCTTAAAAAGTCAGGTTCATGTCCACCTTGGAGGCCTGTCTCTAGTGGTTCCCTGTGTCTACAGTGCTCTTCCCCACGTATCTGCTCTGCTAACTGCTCCATCTCCTTCAAATCTTTGCTCTGATCTCCCCTTTTCAGTAATGCCTACGCTTTAGTAATGAAACTTGTCTATCCATTCCACGAGACACGCCTAATATCCCTAAGCTACTCTAGATTTTCTTTTTTTTCTACAGAAATCATCATCTTCTGCCTTTCTGCATAATTTACTTCTTTAATATTTACTGATTAGATATTTTTTAAACCCTTATTAGGATATAAGCTCTGCAGGAGTAGGGATCTTTGCCTCCTCACCTAAGCAATGCCTAACTTTGTTATTGTTATGATTAGCTAGTTTATTAATATTAATAATAGGAAGAGCATAAAGGGGAGGCCAAACATTGTAAGTATGGTAATCTGGGCAGCTGCACCAGGAACCTACAGCTTCACGCTTTCCAGGGAACTACTGGTCCATTCCTGCAGATCACTGGGGGAAGGTATTGAACAAAGGGGGAGACGAGCACATGTGCAGTTGAAGTTGGGGTGGCGCAGGGGAGGTGTTGCTTGTCAGGCTAGCCTGGAGAACAATGGATTGACTAGGGGGGTGGGCCCCAATACAAGCCCATGAAATTTTGGGAATACATAATCCCCAAACAAAGAGCTCCCTCTCTCTCTTGTTCTCTTTTGCTCTTGTACTCTCTTGCTCTGTGCCTCACACTTGCGAGTGTACTTTCCTGTTCTCTCTCCATAGCCATGTGGCCTTAAGCAGCTGCGTGGCCCATGCAGAACCCACATGCAAGGACTGCAGCTGGGAACACAGCCTAAGCTAGCCAGATGATGAAGTGGACTGGACTTTAATATGGAACAGAAATTCTGCACAGTGGCCTTAATTCTGGCCCTGCTGAATAAGAGATTGGACTTCTTCCATGGTGAGATGGACAGAGATGGGACCTTGGAGGGGAAACCCCCTTAATTTTACATAATCAATAAAGCTTTCTACGAAACCCCATCCTCCCATGGGGGCCTCAGAAAATTCTTCTCCCTGTGGTACCCCAAGAACTCCACTTCCACCCATAACCGCTTTACCTAAAGTAATGCCTCATGGCTGCAGGGCAAATATCTGTTGAAATGACTGGATGATCATTATTTGCATTTCTCTGATCCCCAGTGAGAATGAACATGTGTTTCCTTTTTTGTGAATTGCCTGTTCATTCTTTGGTCCATTTGTCCATGTTTTCTTTTTTATTGATATATAGAAACTCTTTATAACTTTGTGATACTACTCCTTTATTAGTATGCTCCTCATTTTATTTATAACCAGCACCTGTTACAGTCCATGGCATGGGCACCAAGAATCTAGTGGTGACTGTTGAGATGCAAAGTCATGAACCCTCAACAAATGTGTTCAGATTAATATCAGTATGCATTCACACATTTGGAAAAGAATAAGAAAAATTCCTGTTTAAAATAATGAAATAATTACAAGGGAAAGAAATCATTCAACCTACCCTGGCAAGCAGTCCCCGCAGATGGCATCTCTGGTGACAGAACAGTTTGCCTTCTGGAAGCGGTTTACCACAGCACAGTCTAGGCATGGCTTGCATTTCTGAAAGCCCCAGTCCTCCTTGAACCTGTGTAGCCGGCAAGTCACACACTGAGCATCCTCCCCATAGCCAAAGCCACATTCCTGTGGGGATTAACAGGCAATAGAAAGCTATTCAGACATTGCAAGCAAGAAAAAGGAAAGATGATGGGATGAAAGGAAGACCTGTTCTAGTAATTACTGAGTGCCAGCCTTCCTAGAGACAAAGGCAGCTCTCTAAGCAAGTTCAAATGTGTCTCCCACTGCTAATCATCTCTCTTACTATGAGAAATATACTTAAGTCATCCACTTTATTCAAGAAGCCATGATCATTTGAATAATAATGGTTCTCCAGGACCCCCAATGCTGCATTATTGCAGTTTATGGCAGAATTGTGGTACTTTCCTCTTTTCTAATTAAGCCAATCTTGTGAATGTTCGGAAACTAAAGTCAGGAAAATATTCAGACTAAAGTCAGTGAATATTCATTATTCACTTACCAAGGTATAAAATAAGTACTTTGATTTCAACAGTGGCATTTTAGAAAATGAGGGTAACTCATATGAAATTTCATAAGCTTACAAGCCTAGAAGTCTATGCAGTAGAGAGCACTCTAAAATATTTAGCAGCTTAACACTGTCTGATAGTAGGAAGATTCTTACACATTTCTCTAAAAAAACACTACATTCTTGTTTGGATAAAACTGCGTAGGTCTTAAGTGTCTCTGGATTTGGATGTCAGAACACAGTACTATTTTCCAAGAATGGGCAAAACAAACGGCTCATTGATCCACATTACGATCCTTTCTACAAGGTTTGGGAACTAAACAAATCATAGCAGATCATCTAATGCAATTATAATGCAACCATAAAAAGAATGAGGCAGATGTGTGCTTGTGATTGTTCAAAAAATAAGCTACCATACAGAATTAGAAGTATGATCTCATTTCTTACAAAACATTAATAACTTGTAACATTAAAAATGTTACAAAACATTTATTGGGTGCTTACTCTATGCCAAGAATTTTAGACATATTATCTCATTAATTCATACTCCTTCCCAATGAGATAAGCACTATCATTATTCTGATTTCACAGATGGAAGTATGGAGCTTCCCAGAAGGTATGTGTTAGACATGTGCACAGTAAGGATGATGGGCCAGGTACAGAAACTCACCAGGACAGAAAGCCCCAGATGCCCAGCAAGGGGCAAAATTGGGAAAGCAAAAACCTTGTCCCCAGGGTAACCTATCTTTCCCTAGCATATCGCTGATCATGTAGTTTAGAACCCCTGAGCATTCCTCCCTAAAGATAACATCTAGGCCTCAGTTGTATTTCAGCTCCAAGCCCAGAGAAGCAGCAAAACCAGACAAGTGGAACCCTGGCTGCCTCAGGACCAGACAGATACATTGACTAATGACCCCTTGCCCTGACACCGACCAATCAGTGGAGGACAAGACCTTGAAAGAGCACACCTGGAAAGCTGATGGATATTCTACTGAGACACTACTCTGAGACCTCTCCAAAGATTCCCACCTGCAAGAAAGAGATAAATATGCTCAGGACAAAGGACCCAGTGTGTGCTCCCCACCAGGAGAGCAAGCCAGCGCCATCTTCTTCCCCTTTCTTCCCTCCCAGGGGACCCCACAAGACTTGCAACCAGGGGAGCAATGGGCAGCAGCAGTTTGTCCCAGGCTAATCCCCTGAACCTGTCTCCAAGGCCCCCTTCTCTCTCTCTGACTTCTCAGTGAGCCAGAGCAGCCCAGCCTGGGCTCTCCTGTTCCTTCTTCTATGCACCTTCCTTATCTCACCATCCTAAGTATACTTTTGCTGCCATCATGGAGCCTATATCCTTTGACTCAGTGCTCTGCAATGGGATGCCTTTGGATATCCCCATCCCCCATCCCCTTTTCCTTAAATAAATTCAACGTTTCTTTATTTACCATCTGGATGGCTATTTAGCCTGCCCGTACACACCACTGACCTTAATGTTTCAGTATGTACCTTAACCAAGGTGACATAGCGAACGTTAGAACCAAGATTTGAATCTACACAGCTTAATTCCAGAGTCAGACTTCATACTACTACACTGTAGAGTCTGCCAGGTACTTCATCTGACACATACATAGGAAGATGTCTGAAAGATTACATAACAAATGTTAACACTGGTTATCTATACTTTGTGATAGTTTCTATAGAACATTGGTCATTAAAAAAAAAAAGATAGCAGCCTAAGAACTACAAGAAGAATATGTATGCAGAGAGCATGCTAAGCAAATCCACAAACAAGGCTGGATGCACAGAGGGAGGAGGGGCTCTGACAAAATCCCTCAGAGACTCAGCCTCCTGAGATATAAACTACAAATATGCCAGAATGCAAATCCTAGCTAGTACAAAATTCCCAATTTTAAATAAAATTTATATATTTTAATTTCTTCATCCATACTTATATATATAGTCAACGAGGCAATACTTATTGGCCAAAAATTAAATCAAAACTAACACAAAGGACAGTATTTCCTGTACTCAACCAACTACTCAATAAATTATATTAGTAGTAACACATCAATCTAGATTTTTTTAATTTTTAATTTTTATTTTTTTACTAATGAACTCATTTACATTTTGGAGGAGTGACACCTTCCTTCCTCCTTTTATTTACTCTGCCTTTCAAATGTATACCATGAACAAACACAACAAAGCCTGGGCAATAAAAAAGCAGAAGGCCAACCACTTCTTCATCCTGAGTGCTCTAGCTACACAATTGTTCTAAACCAAAGCACAGACAGGAGGAGGAAAAAACCCAACCATTTGATTTGAAGAACTAATTCACAAATTAGAATTTCTTTAAAACTATTAATAGGAATAGGTGGAATTATGAGTTACTCTCAATTTTTATAATTCTGCAATAATATAGTTTTTTTGCAAAAAGCACCCATTATTCTAGTAATCAGAAGAAAAAAAATAAAGATATCCATAAAGAATTTCTTGGGTCATGTACAGTACTAGGTCATTGTGGGGAGGCCATGTGTTGGGCTTCTTTGGTGCTCTGTCCATAGGCAGTATGGTTCTGCAGGCGGAGAAAGTGTATTTGTGCTGAGCACTTTAGTTGTTGAGAAAGCCCAGTTTATCCAAAGGATTTCTTTAAGTATAGAAGGGAGTCTCCATCCTGTCTCCCAGGGTCAAGGCGAGCATGTGACCGTTGGGCGGTGGGGACCTTGCTGTTCACAGCCTCAGCATCTCCAGGTCAAAGGTTCACACAAAGGCAGTGTTTCAAAATCATGATTGATTCAGGCAGCCAGGACTGAAGCACATATACAATGTGATTCAGTAAGGGTCACATATACAATTTAAAACACAACAAAGAAGGGAAAAAGGAAGAGTAGAAGGAAAAACAAAGGGAGAGGAAGGAGAAAGAGATGGAAGAGGTATTAACTGGAAGTAAATGTCTGACATTTTGTTTTTCAAGACAAGTTGATAGAGGAAGAAAAGTGTGTATTTTCCAAAGATTCATGAGTTTGAATGCCAACTCTGCCACTTGTCGGCTAAGTTATTTCAGGAACTCAGTCTCTGGTCCTCAGTCTCTTTATCTGTGAAATGGGGATAACACCTGTCCTGCGAAGTTGTTTTGAGGAATAAGCAGGACAACCTATTAAGCCTCTATACTGTAAATGAAGCACAGAGTGGGCATTCATTAAATATATGATACCTATGGCAATTATTATTTTGGGTTTTCTACAACCCAATAAACCAACTTTCCTGGTTAAAGCATAATCACTGGGGAACAGGGAATCTTCAGACCCCAATTCTTTTCTTACTTAATTTTTTAATTTTAATTTTTATTTATTTATTTATTTATTTTTAATTTTATTTTTGTTTGAAATATTACAGATGTCCCTTTTTCTCCCCAATGACCCATTCCACCCCGTCCCATGTCCCATCCCCCTCCCCAGTCCCTCTCCCCACCATTGTCCGTGTCCGTGGGTTGTGCATATATGTATATAAATTCTTTAGTTACTCTCTCCCCCTCCACCCACCCACCCTCCTCCATCCCTCTGACATTCATCAGTCTCATCTATGCTTCCATGTCATTGAATCTATTCTGTTCATCAGTTTATTAAGTTCTTTAGATTCAGGGTTACCTAAAACATTACTTTACATCTAAAACATTTTTACTGAATAAAAATTTTTCTAAAATGAATTGCAATTGCCTGCCTTTTAAAGAAAGGTAGCTAAAATATAATTTAACCTTCTCTGATTGAGCCAACTGCTGCACTGTGCTGTAATACAAAAAAACAGGGACCCCTGTGTATGTGGGCAGTTCTGCTGTTTTTACACCCCTGCCAGGCAGTCAACTATCATTTCCTGTTCTTGCTGAGTGTCACTGTCTCCAAGGATTCACTTCCTCTCTCCATTCCTAAGAAACTAGATTAAATGATCCAAATAGAAATAAACTTGAAAAAATATAAATGGGTGTACTGATGATTTCATTGCTTTTGAAAAGGATCATAGACTTTAGTGCTGGGGGGAACTCTGTACTTATTTTTTGATACCTGACTGTATTCTAGAGTTTACATTGCTCACAAGGACTATTTTAACCAATGCATTTTTGCCATAGATCATTTTGGGTCATTTGCATGTCATCATATTTTGTAGAATGAGGATGCCATGGAAAAAAAATGGGGGAGGGAGGTCTATTCTACACTAGCCCAAAATCATGCACAGAAAGAAAGGCTCCCCATGCATCATAGTTTGCCTTCATTATCTGGGTATCGACTTACTATTTCTACTTAGAGTTTATGTTTTGGTGACAACAATAATAATCTTTATGGTAGAGTTAGGTGAGGGGTTGAATAAGGCTTTATATCAATTACTAGCACAAACAATGCTACAATGTACTGAGCATGTACTATGAACCATATAATTTCCTGGGAACTTTCATAGAGATTATTTGGGGAAATGTTATTTAAATATATTTTCTCTAAAGTATTTGCCAATCTAAAAAAGATAATATTAGAAAACCAGCCTATTATTTTTAAACTTTTAAAAATTAAATAGCTTGCATTCTACATGTTAAATTAACCAGAAAAATTAAATTAATTTAAAA